TGTGTGAGGGGCAGGAGGTCGGTGAGCGTAATAAACGATTCCCCCGTTGGATACGAATGTGTGGAAGGGCCATTAGCAACGGTCCAGATCACCTATCAAACCCCCTTTTCGCCGTCGATATCTCAAGAGGGATTGATGTAGTCAGACACGTCAAGACAAGCCAGACTGCCTCGTGGGGAAGCTCGCTCTCATGGTAATCCATACCCTGGATGCCTTCGGCGGGACGGCCCACTGCAGCGTACGAGTCTGGCAAGCCATTGTGGTATCAACTATAATATATCGCGCGATGGTTTTTGTGGCCACGCTTTTGAGCATTGCATATTTCGGCGTATATACTGCACAGAACATGGTTGTTCACATCAATCATCCTCCGAGTATACCTCCGTGGAGGCGAATCGCGTAGAAATGTGGCATATATGATACTCATTATGCGAGGATTTTAGGGTCGTCGACAGAATTGAGGGGAACTTCCAACCCTACCCCCGCCATTCAGCAACTCAATGGACCGTGGAGAGACGAAGTCGACATGATTCAGAGTTCGAGTTCAGACATTCTGGTTTGCTGTCGCGGAGAGCAGAGGGGTGTTTTCCACGATTCACTCCCATCGTTTATCTGTACTCCTCTTTGCAGGAGGTCTCGGCTGAGAAAGGAAGACCCTACGATCGCTCCTGCCTCTCCAGAGATCAGGCCTGTGGTGGCTAAACATCCTAAGTCTTTCGTATTGTTGCATGATGGAATGTCAGTCGACTCTAGGTTTGACCGAAAGGCAACATCAGCTACTTTCATACGGCCGCACCGGCGTATCGAGGCAATGTGGCGTCTAGAAACGGCCGGGTCTCCTGGGCGGTCGCACTCAAGGCCACACGTTGCGAACATCTGCGCATCGTTTGAGATCCCAGTTTGAACTTCTCTGCGATCCATTCCCCCACCATGGTGCGATAGATCACAACCCGACTACCATGACAAGTCCTGTCCGTGACAGGCAGCAACGGGGGCTTTCCTGGATGCTTCCATGCCCAGCCGTGGAAGTTGTTGATGCAAGAAGCGTTCATCACGGAACGATGAGCCGTAGTGAGTACCACACGAGACCGGTTGCTTACGGCTCTCAGCCTTTCTAAGCTCTGGCTCGAGAGCTTGCCCTCAGCTAAGGCCTTGAAAAGACCTTGCGCCTTTGTGTAACACTGTATCAACTTCAGCATGACCTTTTCAAGCGCCACGACTTGATGGACGAGTCGGACCATCAAAGCAGGATCGGAACCCGGGCTGAAGCGCTCGAAAAGAAGAAAGCCGACGTTGCGCATCAGACTCCATGAGAGACCCCTCGCGGATAGGCTAGAGAGCAATAGCAGATAGTCTTTCTGCCACTTCTCCGGATCGCTCTCTCCTTCGAAACTAAAAAACGTTGGCGAGCTCCTCCGAGAAACTATAGGTGCCGTCTTACACTACTTTATTCCTGTTCGATTTCATCTTTTGTAGCGTTCTTGCTGGTTCAAAAAACATCGCGTACCAAGTCGCGATAGCGAGAATGAAGAAGAAGATTGATGTTGCTGTTTTTGGGATGACCAAAAGCAGCGTGACACCCACCGACGGAAGTTTGACTGCGAATATTCTGATGACGTTGATCAATGCATCGACTTTCGTGATTCGATTTGTAGAATCGATTTCGTTCTCAGATCGGATTTCGAAGACAAACTTTTGTAACACTGGCTTGAGTTGGCAAATGAGCCCTTCTTGAAAGTCGTCTATAAACTGTAACAGCATCGAATTGAGAAAGATTGGGCTATCCTTATGCCGAGCGAGCTTCTGTGCCAACCAAGGTACAAAGAACGGCAGCCCATTTAGACCGATGAGAAGTAGAAAAGCGAGTTTGTGAAAAAAAGACATCCAGGCTGACTGCCGCGCGCTGCCTCCTGGCTGGTTGACTTGTCAATGATGCCGTGTTTGATCTTTGGCGGCCGAGTGATTACTTCCCACACTTTTAATACGACGCGCAAGGTATCAACCGCGCAGGTCTACTGATGTTTTGCTGGGTGAAAGGTGGTGAAGGTGGTGCGCTGGAAGATCGCCCGGGTTGGGCCTTTTGTCTCGGATAGAATATGCGCGGCGGATA